CTGCACATTAAGCCCTGCATAAGCAAAGGAAAGAAAAGAAAAAGGAGGCTGCTTCGGGTGTTCATTTGCCAATGACTTCAGTCCCTGAATCAAAGCTACTGGTTATGTAAATCCAGTATGACACAAGTCTTTCCCTGAACCCCTTCATTCTGTGACGTACCATCAACACCATCTGCGGTTTCGCTTTCTTCTTCTTCTTCTTCTAGCATTTCAAAGGGAGTCATTATATCATAGAGAAATGAGAGGAAACCATAAAACCAATCTGAACTTTCCTCTGCTAAAATATTAAGGACTTCCTCAAGAGAATCAATATTTTCATTACTGCCATCTTTGGTCAGGCCTACATAAGAATAAAGGAAGAGAGAGAGAAAATAAGGAGAGCAGTTAGGTGGAAAAAAGAAGTGGAGGAAGGGCGATCTCAAAAGCGATGTGCATCATGGTCAGAGAGGTTTACAGAAACGGTATTTGGAAAATAAAGAAGTCCATTACAATGCACACCTTACAATCAACTCTCAATCACATGTCAAAAGAAAGCCACAATTTGGCCAATCCTTACCACTCCTACCAGCCCCTACCTAGGTTTGCCTTTCTCTCATTAGAGTGTTGAGGTGAAAGACAAAATTTTATCAGTCAAAAATCAATAGACAGTAATGGAAAATCAGTTGACTGTAAAAGGAAGAGTGAATAAAAGCAGTATCAGAGAAAAAAAGATATATACTCTGACAACCCCCAGATTTGCTCATTTACCAACCAGATTTTATCGAGAGTTGATTATACACACATTCATTCATTCATTCATTCATTCAAACTAGAAAGGCTTATTTCCTCAAACTTCTCCCCTCCCCACACCAGCACCCCACTTAAGACCTGGAGTTAAGTTAGGAAATTCTGGAGTTAATATAATTAGCAGTATTACCATTTATAGCATCCACAGATGGGCATAAGTACACTGAAATTATGTAACTCAGATAATTTTAACACTTAAATTTTAACACTATTAAATGTGGTAGCTCTATAAAACTCTGGCAATTGACTCACGGTCCTGTAATTCTGGCCAATGACAACAGTCAGCTATTAATAATAATTCACTTTGCCTACCGATATGAAATTTGATCAAGGCCTTAGCTGGTCACTTGCAATAGGAACATTCCAAACTCCTCTCCCTATAGGCCTGTGAAATTAGCTTCTATTGCTAAGACCCCTTTCAACCGTCATTTTTAAGTATTGGACCCAAAACAGGCCCTTAGGATAGAAATAAATCAAAGTATATATTGTTTTTATCATTTTTTTTTTTCCTGTGAAGAACTGGCTCTGGGTAGCAAAGGTTTCTTAGCTCCAGTAGGTATCAGAATCTGACAGTACTACCAAGCTGTATACCAAGCCCATAATTCTGAGGAGGAATAATAGGGTAGGGTATTCTGGCTATAAGAAATGTGAACATCCATGACCACTGAGCTTTTCTGGTTGTAACCACCTAATTCGGTCATTTAAGTCTTTGGCAACGCACAATTTCTCCATGTAGTATAACTACCAGCAATCAAGATTGGCAGATAAAGGATAAGACAACAACTAGTTTAAAAGTTTTAAAGATTACAGTGAATTTTCTCTACTTTACTCAAAAGAACTATATTATGTCATTCTTCATGTTTTTGGTAAGAAAAAATGCAAATCGCAGTCGGTATTTAAATTACTTTTTGACAAGCCTAGCACGTTTTCACTCAATTTAGCAGTAGACAAATGCTGTGAACAAAGATCTATATTCCCAACTAAGTCTCTGTGGGAATAACACTGTTTCTTCTTCCTGCCTTAAAACATTATAGCTGCATATTTAGTATAAACATCTTTATTTTTCTCCATTTGCCAATATATTATAAGTACTTCCGAGTATTACATGTAAAATATAAAACTTTTCCATCCTTTAGTATGACAGGTGACCATATGCAACAAATATGCAAAAGCATTTGAACAAAACTGTTTACCCAGCAAAGCAACTTTCCTCTGGTTCTCAAGACAAAAGTACTAGTCCAAAGACAAAAATATATATTCTGGGTATGTGACTCCTTCTGAACCTCTAAGAACAAGGCTCAACCAAATGGAATGCCTTTGGCTTGGCAAGGTCTGGTCTTCTCCTCCCATCAACTCACTCATGCATCTATCAGTCTACAAATGTTTTTCCAGGATGTAGCAAGTGCTGACTGGCTTTTCTTTTGCTTTCCAGCCATACCTGATACGATGCCAGCTAGGTGCTAGCCATAGGACAAAAGGACAACCACATGATCCTTAGGTAGTGTCACTCTAAGGATTTAGTCCTCACGTCATTTAGTCCTCGGGTCATTTTCCTGTTGATTTTATTTGGAAAATAAGTTTTTAAAGAATACATTCTCAAACAAGGTAGTTTTCAATAATCTGAACTACAACCAAAGATACCTACATTTTAGTTAATTTAGTTAATAAGAAGCTATGTAAATGAAGAAAAGTGGGCTTAGTACACTTTCAAATAATCAAATGGGCCTTGGCCAGAAATAATCAAATAATAAAATTAATGATGGTTAGTGGTCTTGATTTACTCACATATGTTTAATTCTCTCTATTTCACAAGAAAAGCCACACCCTAAAATTGAGTGAAATGTACCATGTGAATGTATACATTTCCCCAAATTTATAAGATTTAGATATATGCGGACTTAAGAATCTAGAAAAAAAATATGAAATAAATGCACAGTCTATGAAAGATTAACATATCTCAATTATTACTATACCTGCGATGCCAACAGCTCCTCTAATCTCTGATTTCCTACCTTCCTCCCTCCCCTTGGATCTTCTGGGCCTTAATCTAAAACCTAAACCCTTAAAGCTTAAATTTTACCATTAAGCTGCCTCTCCAGTGAGAATGTACCTTGGAAGTCTAGCTTCATTTTGGGTATATGCTCACTGTAGTGCTCTCCCCATAACCTCTACCTGACCACACAGAACCCATTAAAGCCTCTGTACTCCCAACAATTTCACCAGGCTGTCTTTGCAGTAACCTTCCAGTAACAGAGGCACCACTAAACTATAATGATCTTACAAACCGGAAAAGAACTTTAGTCATAAAACTCAATTCAAGTTAAGGTTGCATTTCCTGCAGAGAACTCAAACGCTATAGAAATAAGATTAAAGGTGATAAGTAAGCCTAACATTTCACTTTTGGTTTGTTTCATCTGTACTGAAGCTACAAGCCAACTGCAAACTAGTACGGGAAGAGTAAAAAAGTATTTATGTAGCTTTATCTGATCTGTCTTTATGCATTTATTAGTAAAGTTACCAAAATAAACCTTGATATTCACCAAATTTAGTTCCACCTCCAAGTGTATAATTCTTATAAATGGCACAATTTACGAGTTCCTTACACTATCCCTGCAAACAGCAATATTCAAAGTTATAATTAGCTTCTTAATGGTAGGTTAAAAACCTTAAAGGGGATGACCTTTTGAAATCTCAAATACACTAAAAATCAAGTTAAGGTAACAGTTTGCTGTAGAAATCAGTGTGTTTTATCAAAGAAATACCACATTTTAATTTCTAATGGCTGACATTTCCTGACAGACCAGATGGCTGGTTTTAAGCAAAAGCAAACAAATAAAAATCAATAAAATACAGTAGATGAGAGTAATATTATTTCTAAAAATAAGGGAACTTGACCCACATTTTATTTTATCTTTAAAATAAAGAGCTTTGCTATTCAGAATTTGTCATTTGAAGCAATATAATGAAGTGATAAACCATTTATAGGCAAGCAAATTAACATCATTCTGGTAAGTTCTATATAATTTTGTTTCTTTTACATGCCCAGGATTATAGTCATCTGAGGATTCAATATATTTACAGAAACTCAAATTTAGATACACAATGACAGGACTACATTGAAAATTTCATTAAAGTTAAGACAAGAAAATAAATTTCATGGTAAGTTTGCAGCAAACATTAATTCCCAATGGGCAGAAAAAAAAAAACCAAAAAAAACCTAACAGGTCAAAATTAGGAAGGTTTACTATCTTTAATCACAATTAAAACTCTATTTTCATAGAACTTTCTCTATTTCATAAGGAGGTGGATTTAATCTACTAAAAGCAGTTTCATTGGTTACAGATGTGGCATCCTACTGTTTTCATTTCTAAAAAACATACACAAAACAGTATAACTAAGAAGAATTTCTTTGGGTCATTATTTTATAAGCTTAGTGTATAGTATCATGCCATATCCATTATTTTTCTAAAGACTCTAATATAAAAAGTTTTAACATATATTATGCTACATACAAAAGCAAAGGAAGGCTCAACAGGCCAGATTATACAAAATTTGCATGTTAAAATTAACACCATTCTTTCCAGCAAGACAGCACTTTAAAACAAATGAGGGAACACCACATTGTTATTTATTACAAGAAACATCTCTGATAAAGACGGGTAATTCTGATAGTGAAAGAGAAGGGTCCAACACTTCCAAAATAAAGACACTGGGTCAAAAGACCAGGAGTTCATATTTTAGCGCTACCGTTAAAATAAGCATGGGACATTTTAAGATGTTTATTATCACTTTTATTTCAAAATTAATTGACGTAAGCCTGTAGAAATTTACATTTTGAAATGGAAGTGAATGTCTAATGTTAATGAAGAATATCTATAATTACCATATCTAAAAATAGACTAGGATACTAGCTATTCAAATTCTAAGTTCAGAATAAGAAGTACTTTAAATCTGAAAACACACATGAAATTATTATACTTATCAAAATATATACGTTTAAGAGATATACACTTATTCACTGATAAAAGTAAATTGAAATGAAAGAGTCTGCAGAAAAATAAGCCATTTAAACTTTTAACAGTAATGAAATATATGATTTAAGGGGAAAAAATCTTCTGTAAGATATATACTATTGAGATAGATATTATTAAAGCAAAAATATTTGTTTCCAGCATTTTATCACCATTAATAAAAAACATAAAATGTGTACTTGCCTAATAAAACTTTGGCATCATCCACATCAAAATCTCCATCACCATCAGCATCATAGATTCCTAGTTTTCCTACAACAGGGGAGAAATGATGGATATGGAACAAAAAAGAAAAGAAATTTAATACGGTATTACAACTTAGTGAAGTCCTGCAACTCAGTCATAAATGTTACCGATTAATGCAATTCTTTGCTCTTTTAATCCTGCAAAGCAGTGTCAAATGAATATCTTACCTAAAAATAGTGAGCAATTCAGTTAAGAGAGTCAGGAAACGTTCATCTAGCAAATTCTATGAAATAAAACTGACATAGCATTTCCTTTAAAGACTGAACAACATATTCTGATCTAATTACTCCAGAATAATTTTTTTTTTTTTTGAGACGGAGTCTCGCTCTGTCACCCAGGCTGGCGTGCAGTGGCCGGATCGCAGCTCACCGCAAGCTCTGCCTCCCGGGTTCACGCCATTCTCCTGCCTCCGCCTCCCGAGTAGCTGGGATTACAGGCGCTGCCACCTCGCCCGGCTAGTTTTTTTGTATTTTTTAGTAGAGACGGGGTTCCACCGTGTTAGCCAGGATGGTCTCGATCTGACCTCGTGATCCACCCGTCTCGGCCTCCCAAAGTGCTGGGATTACAGGCTTGAGCCACCGCGCCCGGCCCCCAGAATAATTTTTATTAAACTGTTAAAAATATTTTTGGTAAAGTTTTTAGCATATATGAAATAATACTGATGCATTCCTAAGTTACTTGAAATTTAATATTTCTAAAGCATGAAATTTCATCACACTATCAATATCTGAAGCAAAAGAAACAACCAAGCCTCAAATAAAGACTAAATGTAAATAGATTAACATAGAATCTAAGTACTAAAAATTAAAAAATCATTAATTTTATATTTTACAATCATGATTTATAACAGAAATATCATGAATTAACCTTTAAAAATAAAAGACCATTCTGGAAATAAAGTATGTAAAACGGGAGGCTTCAGAAATTATAAAGGAAAATTTAGGATTATTCTACTTAATTAGCACAGGCCATTTATACTAAGAAAAAAGGGCTTAAAACAGATATGCTGAGGAGACAATACTAACAAAACCTTTCCTCCTCATGAACAGAAAATGTTTTTAGGCTTTAGTGCTTTATCATAAGGAACACTGTTATTTTGTTTAGCATTTCAAAAAGTCAAATACATTCAACTCCCTAAAAAAGCATCCTAAAATCCACATGATTCTAATTCATTACTGGACAATGACAGTGGAGAAACACAATAATGTTAATGTACAGCAATTTTTTAAACAGCATTTTCAAATACAGCATTAGTACTAAAAAAAACAACAGTTGGCAGCATTGTTATCATTTCTTTAACACAAAGTACATTAAAAAATTACAGAAGGGCAGGCAGAAATTTTGGTTCAGAGTAGCTCTGATCAATCTTTATCTCCCCAGAGCCCTTGCTCTACTTAGCAAAATGGTTAACTTGCTATACAGAAGTCTGACTTAGCAAATACATACACATTTAAAATGATAATGATGAAGGAAGAGATAAGGATGTTATTTCAACTGCTAAGAAAACAAAAAGTACTAATCAAGGCTATGCAGAGTACAGAACTCAAGAAACAGTAAAAGACAGAAAATACTATCCTTTCTGACAAACCCATAATGGGAAATTGGTGCTATCGCTTATATTCTGATGTAGGTAATAACTAAATTAGTACAAAAAGGATGAGCCGTTAGAGACTAACACACATAGACTTGAAATGCAACTCCAATAGCCTACCTTGAAGCACCTCTGATAAGTTATAACGGAAGTCCTTTGCTTTGGCTGCATGCATGTAAAAACATGAAAATTGTTATTTGTGCTTAAAAGTACAAATATTTAAAGTGTCCTCTTTTAAGATACGTTCCCTAACAACATATCACTGTAAGTCAGTCAAAGCATAGATCTACTCAGAAATTTGTCTCCAAACTAAAATTCTCCCTCAGTTGGTCTGTCAATCTATCCAGAGACTCTTTCTTTAAAGTAATGAAAACGTAAAACTTCAATGAAAGACAGATTACAGATAAGCATATTTTGTTATTCCTACGGCCAAAAATTTGTTTGCTCTTTCTCCCCAAAAAGATGTCTATAATCTGACAAGTAAAGCAGAAGCATAGGAGGTCCAATGCAAGGGGAGATCACCCATGCAACATTGTATAGAGAGACAAGTGTGCATTTTTTCCAGTGACAGGTCCACATCTTTCACTGGATTACTAAAGAGGAGGGCCATTATTCACAATAGCCAAAGAGTGGAAACAACCCAAATGTCCATCACTGATAAACAGATAAGCAAAATGTGGTGTGTCCATATGATGGAATATTATGCAGCCATAAAATGAAGTACTGAACCTTAAAAACATTATGCTAAGTGCAAAAAGGCAGATACAAAAGACCATATAATGTATGATTCTATTATATGAAATGTCCAGAATAAACAAAACCACAGACACAGAAAGTAGATTAGTGTTTCCCAGGAGAGGGAAAGAGGAAGAGTTTGGGTATTTAGGGGAAGGAGGTAACAGAAATAATCTGGAATTAGATAATGCTAATGGGTACATAAAATGATGAATATAGTAAAAAAAAGAAAAAAAACTGAATTGTACACATTCAAATATATAAAATACTGAATTTTATTTCAGTTAAAAAAAGATTTTTGGGGAAGTTAAGGAGAATGTGACTCTCAAAATAATAAAGAATCATTAATATAAAAAATCGTGAAAAACTGCAGTGATTACAGGAAAGAAAAGGAAAAAGGTGGAGAAAGGACACTATCAGAATGACCACAGCAACTTCCTCAGAACAGCACACAGATCACACTTACACACACACAATCATATCTGCAAATGCCTATCTCAGCACACCCATCCAGTACCTATATGTGTGCACACATACTCACCCCATCCCAACAGAGACACAGAAGGATGTACTTCGAAAACCCTCTCTAAGGAAGGGTTTTGCATATTGTGTGGTTATGATCCATTAGCAAGTCCTTAAATAAATGTAGTGGCTCATGATCAAGTATTTTTAAAATTTATAATGTAACAAAATTGAAATCAAAAAGTACTGCAAATAGTGAGAATGAGTACTGTTTGATAAAACCTCTCCCTGTGTGACAGGCATACAATATAAAGCCTTTTTTCAAAAACCTACAGGTCATGTTTAAAAAAGTTCAAAAGACAGTACTCCAAGGTAACCCTCTTCATATCCCCTTTCAGCTGCACTCTACTGAGAACCACTGAAAGGCTATAGAAATTACCAGTACCAAAAAGATGATAACAAATATTCAAGACTCCTAAGAGATGTCACTTACTCCCTCACAAATTCACATAAGGATATCAAAATTCTTACCTAGAACTTCCTCATAGTCAACAAGATCAAACCAAACGACAGCTACAGATGTCCAGACGCCCAGCAATGCAATCACCATAAACCACGTGAAGAACGAAGTTCCCGAGGGTCCTCCTTTCCTCCCATTCTTGTGTCCTCCGTGCTTTGTCTCTGTTTAGAAATAAATGTAAGATGTCATAAGAAGAAAACACTTTACTGAACACCTCTTCTCACAATTATTTCTCCAATAATTTGGGATTATGCACAATGATAGACCATTTCAAAAATAGTTTTCAGTTAAATTCTCAAAACATGTTACATAAAATATTTTTGAAAACAGAAAAGATTGTGTAGATGCAACACTAACTTTGAAGTAGTGAAAGAAATAAACTCCTGAATGTTTTTAAAGATTTAGAATAACATGTATACTCCATCCAAGTTACTCATCAAAATGACCTGAATATTACCTCTTTCCAAAGGCAGAGCACATCAACAACTTAATGAAATCACATAGAAATGTAGCCAAATCCTTTTCTCTGTCCCATTTCATTTCTGCAGAATCTTAAAAACTCTGTTAACTACCACAGACGAAAATATCTCCCCCTAAACCATTCCATAATCTTTGCCAGAGAGAGAAGGACAGAAAAGTGAAACAGTATAATCCGTTCCTACTCCTTTACAAGATCTGTTGAGGCCTAAGGAAACAGGAAAAGGCTCATTCACAACTGGTCTCACTGTAGGAAACAGTTTTGTAAACTGCTGTCCACCTAAAGTGTCATTTATCGCAACTGATATGCTTAATATACCTTACATTCTTTTGTAAATATTCTTCTTACAGCCAAAAATAAACAAAAATCATTTTATATTAATAGAAAATAGTCAACACTGTCCTTAAAAAGATAATATTCAAATTTCCCATAAAAAGGAATACAATATATTATATCAATATTAATAAAAAGGTTAAATAATATCTCAAAATGCCTTCTGAGAAGACGAAAAGTTTATCAAACAGATGATGGAAGACCAGGGCGGTGTCTCCTATTTGTGCAGCAGGTGGAATCGCTTTCATGTGCACTGCTGCTGGTGATCCTCACTGTGTCCCTGCCACTATTTCTACAGAGGGCATTTCTGGATGTTTATACAGGACAATGTTTCATCCTGTGCACCTGTTCCTCACATTGCAAGATTTCTGGCATCCCTGGTTTCCCCTGGACCCAAAGGCAAGGAGCTCCCAAGGCTTAGGACAAACAAAATACCCCCAGACATTTCCACATGTTCCCTTCAGGGGCAGTTCCTGGGTGAGAACCAACAGGGATAAGGACAGGAATAATTATCTGTTTTATAAGTGAAACATGAAATGATTCTCCCAAAGTCACCAGTACAAGTTGGGTAGAACTAGGAACATATCTACACAGCTCTGAGTTCCTTAATCTCTAATCAGTGGGCCAAATTACACGATTTCAAAAAACCCCACTAGCTCTAATCTAGAACTTGAAACTAGAAACAATGGAATTCTTCTTGTTAAAAGGATACACACATTTTTAAAAAATACATCACTAGATCAGTTTTTCAAATGCGGCCATAAAAACTAAATCCATCTGAGCATATATATGTATATTCAAACATATACATATATTTATCTACATGCCTACATCAAAGTATATAGAGTTCCGATGACTAAATAAGACTAAATTTTTTTTTTTTAGACTTAGTCTCCCTCTGTCACCCAGGCTGAAGTGCACTAGCATGATCTTGGCTCACTGCAACCTCTGCTTTCCAGGTTCAAGGGATTCTCCTGCCTCAGCCTCCTGAGTAACTGGCATTACAGGCACCTGCCACCATGCTAATTTTTGTATTTTTAGTAGAGACAGGGTTTTACCATATTGGTCAGGCTGGTCTTGAACCCCTGCCCTTAAGTGATCCACCCACCTCGGCCTCTCAAAGTGCTAGGCCATTCTTAAAAAGTCAAGTATTTCCTTTTTGTGACATTCTTTAAATGTTAATGGATCCATCAGAACTAGAGTTGTAAATAATATGGTAAATGCATAAAAGTATGCTTACCAACTGACAAATGGCCATCAACTTTGTTTCTAACGTGATCTATACGAAAGCTGGCTATATAAAAACATAATTTATTTATTAAATAAAAATATTTGCTGGGCATAGATCCTATGGTTGCAGATTAAATCAACTTCAAATAGGTATCATTACCTGAAACACAGGCATGGGAGGGGAAGATTGGGTGAAAATGTCTGCAACGTTGGTAGAGGGAAATGGCGATTTTCAAAATTTTTATGTGTTGTTAGCATATAAAAAAATACTAATTAAACCACTAATAAAATTTAAAGAAAAAAAAGATTTATGAAAGTAAGCTTCTGTGAGGTCAGGAAGTGCCACAGATTCAGTAACAGTTTTGTATGTGTAATTCACTACATTTTTATAAACAGAAAGACTTATTTTCTAACACTGTATCCAAAAAAGAACCCTTATTTCTATATATACAGACATATGCATACAAACCCATTTGTGTATAACACTAAGTTTAATAAAAATACTAACTTCCAAAATATCCACATACTCCAAATATGGAACTATAGTAGCTAATGACTAAGAATTTTCTGCCTTTGCTACTTATTGCCTCTAAGAATTAAATTTAATTTTTTTTTGTAAAAGGAATGCTAAATCTTCAGTAAAACTGGGTTCTTGTCTTATGTCCTCTTGAACATTCTGTAGCTGATACCAGTCTCTTGTATTTTTCCTCATTAACTGGAAAACAGCAAGGTTAAATAAATATAATTCAATTTTTCATTCATCCAGCATTTTTATTCAGTACATGTATACCAGATAATTTTACCCAATAATTAAGTTTTTAAAATGAGTATGTAGTCAAACGGATACCCAAGATGATACTGTTTAAAATAAACCCATACTGCAGTGAGCTATGATGGCGCCACTATACTTCAGCCTGGGCAATAAAGCAAGACCCTTTCTTAAAAAAAAATTTAAAAGTCTATAATGAAATAGCTAATAAAACAAAGTAATAGTTTGAATTCAAAGTTTAATTGTTTCTCCATTTCTATCTCTCTTAAAGGGAAATGGAGGAGGAAAATTTCTGATATTCTGAAAAGGAAATTATCATTTATCCAAGTTAACTCAGTGACACTCATTTAAGTTACTGACTGCAACACCAAATACAAGGAAAAAGTAGACAAAAGCTTTTTTCTAAAAAAGGAAATGAATGCATGCACCAAAACAGCAAGGGGTTGAGATGGGAAGGAGACAGTCAAACACAGTAAAAAAATACACCTTTACCTACAATTTGTTTACATTTTTATTTTAGATGTGATTCTAACAACTTTTCTAGCTCAATGCACAAAATTCTAGAATAGATTTCAGACACAATCTAACCCAAATGAGTCAAAGCAACAGAGTGTTGACAGAGGAAAAGCCTATAGACTGCACAGGTCTCTCAGCAAGAGCAGACCCAGGAACTCAGAAAAGCTGAGTGGTGGGAAGTCATTTATGATTGAAACTTTCAGGCAGAATCCCTGACAGTTCTTCAAATAATCTTCCGTACAAGACAGTAACTGGTTTCACACTGATTCTGCCATTAAAACATAGAAGAAATGTATAATAAATCTTAGGAAGATTTTCACTCAAAATAGTTTTTAGTATAGAGATTTATCACTTTAAAAGCTAAATGTTTCTTAAATAGAATGTATTATCAGCAATATTTTATATATCCCTTTTTAATATCAAACAAATGAGTTGCTATTCTAGTATTATTAACCATATTACTGTTGATATTTACTTGTTCCATAAAGGAACAAAATATTAAATTATGGAAGGGATTATTTTCTAAGACACCTTTTTTAGGGGCAGTTTTTATCAACAGCAAACAATATACTCTTGATATGTCATTTGGTAAATATGCTGTGCCCAGTCCCAAAGGGCAGATCAGTTTCTGTCCAATGAAACTGATGAACGCATGGTAAGACAAACCCTTAAGAGGGTTTACAACTCCCTAAGCAAATCTGAAACCAGTACCTTCTTCCAAAAGTCTTTGGGAAGAACATCTAGTAGATGTCCCTGTTTTCTAAGATCAGAATAAATCTAAGTCTTCATTTCATTTTCTGGCTTCATGTTCAACCTGTAGTTCTGGGATCAGTCAAAAAGGATTTTTACTGGGGTTTAAGAATACTGCAAAAACTATGTGAATCATTTTTTCACATGTTATTCCATCAAAAGTACATGACCTCCAAATCAGAAAACGTTCCCACATACCACCAAACACAGAAATTACTATGGCAAGCAATAGTCGAAAATGAAGACTCTCCAAAACAAAAGCCAGGGGAGGGGAAATGTGTAGTTTTATTTATTTGGTCAAGGGAAGGGAGACAAGACGACGAACCCCAGCACTTGAACGGTCATTAGCTACTTCACTGGCCCACTACTAACTGAATTAGAGATCATTTATAAGTTTTAGCTGGCATTATGTTGGGAATTTCGTATTTACACATAAACTCTATACATTTAAAGTTTTTTGAAAAACACAAAAACTGTCAAGCAACTCATCAAACTGATTATTTTTCCATGCTATAAAATGTCACCCTTTGGGAATCGAAAACGGTTAAAAGTGGGTCAGAGGTAACAGCTGATTTTTCCTAACTACATAGATTACCTAATCCACAAGAGGGGAGAAATGTCTTCCAAAAGAACTAAAAGGCAGATACATATCTCATATTCTTCACGGCTACATGAAGCACTTTATCAGACGAGTCAAGTGACCCATTCTAACCAATTATTCAAACAGTATTCACATAGGACATGCTCTTATTCTCTATCCTAATCGAAGAATCCTTTCAGTTCCTAATTAGACAGCTCAGAGTTAGAAGCAGTTTTCACACATGTATTTTTTTCTTTTATAAATCTTCAACATAATGAGTGCATTCAGTCTTTCAATTAATGGAAAGACTATCTTAATTTACAAAGTAAAGCAAAAGCAAATATATACAAAACATTAAATTCAATATATCACTAAAGAATACTTCAAAGTTAGAGTCAATTTAAAAACAAAATAAAACTCTTGTGATTTTTCTTTGCATTTATTGTCTGCTTCACATAAAAGTAGGTCACTTTCCATAAATGGTAAGTCCTTGCTTGAACTAGGTAAGTCTGTTCATTAATATGAGAATGAATTTATATCTCCTATAATTTTATATAAAATCTAAATATATACAATTCTTTAAATTCATTGTAATTAACTTATAAGACTAAAGAAGAGAGCTTGTACATTTTTTGAGGTTTGTAAAATGCAGCCTCCAGTAGTACAACATACTAAAGATCATCTAAATTAAGACACCAAAACATACTCTGATTAAAGACAGATTATTCCATGAAATATTCAGCTACTATGAAAAGTCAGTATCTCCGGTAGTTCAAAATAGAAAACGTAGACAGTACAGTCAAAGCACTTAGCCAAAAATATTTTAACACAGCACCACTGAAAATAAAGTGAAAAGCTGTTAGCTAGATCTAAAGCCACTTTTAGCCTAAATAACAAAAATATACCTTTATCTTCAGCCATTTTGACTTCTTCAATCCATGAATAATAAATGCTAAAGTAAAACAAAAAACAAAAAAACTCAAAAGTACTACTGGCAGGTTTTAGGCACACTGCATGCACTTGCCTACCAGAGCTTGAGACTGGCCAACCCCTGCACTGTAAGGGCCTCTAGAAGTGAAATTGGACCTGACTACAAACTCTGCTCACCAGTTATTTTTAGAGGCTAAATGCTGCTAATCACCACTTAGGCTGAAGTGCACTCCCTAACAACACGACAGCCTTTCTCCCACTTACGGGATTCCTTTCCTAGTTGGTCCTAGCTAACTCCAACCCCTAAAAAATCAAGCATGCTGAAAAAAAAATGAAATGGAACAAACTGTGCTGCCAGTTTTGTTTTCTTGGAAGCAGGTTTTAATGGCTTTAGCTTAAGCACCAATTCATTGAAAACTCAAACAAGTCTTGCTATAAAATATGGCCCCGAGCCCAGAAACAGCTTGATTCGGCCCTTCAGAATCTAATAAAATGGCTACAAGGAAGGACCATAAGATTGTTTGAATGAAACAAAACCATAGATAGCAAGAAATTAATTAATGCTCTAGAATTCTTATTCACAGACACCATCCCAGGAGTAATTCCTCCAACAGCAAAAATAAAGCACCAACACAAAATGTTTCACTAGAAAAGGAGGGAGAGAAGACTGGTGGAGAGGAAAGAAACGGAAGGAAGGCTGGGAGGTGAGGAGAGGGAAAGAAAGAAATCTTCAGGAGTAAGAGTAATGACCAGGGAAAGCTCATCTTGAAAGGGAACTAGGAAAAGATTACACAACCACATCCTGATTTTTTTCAACTTCTCCCCAACCTCATCTCCAAATATTCTCTTCTGGGAAATAAAATCAGCCATTTATTCGCTGATCTAACATTAGCAGTTCACAGACTTCATTAGAGTTCTGATTAGTATACTAAATTAATTTAGCACAAATAGTATCTAGAGCAGGCAGCAACCTTTCTAAGTTGTTTATAAGACTATTTTTTTTTCACTCAAATTTAAAGCTTCACAAGCAAATTAAACATTTAAACGCTTTGAATACTAACAGTAATTTCCAGTAGCTCAAGGCAAGAATATATTGCCAATATATTCTTCTGGAAAAAAAATGAAATTCTTGCTAAAAGGATACGCACATTTTTAAAAAACACACCACTAGATCAATTTTTCAAAAGGGGCCATAAAAACCAAATCCATCTGAGTGTGTGTATGTATACACTCAAACATATATATTCAAAGCTAAATGTTACTTAACTAGAATATTAAATTATTAGCAATATTTTATCTATCCTTTTATAATATCAAATAAATGAGGTATTACTCTAGTATTATTAACCTTATTACTATTGATATTTACTAGTTCCAAAAAGGAACAAAACACTAAATTATAGAAGGGATTATTTCCTAAGATGCCTTTTTTAGGGACAGTTTTCATCAAAAGCAAACAATATACTCTTGATATGTCACTGTGTAAATATGGTGTGCCTAGTCCCAAGGGGAAGATCAGTTTCTGTCCAACGAAGACTATTGAATGCATGGTAAGATAAACCCTTAAGAGGCTGGTACCAGAGTCTGCAACCTACGGTACCAACATTTGATGGCCCAGGTTTAGGACAGAGTGAAGTAGGTAGGCATTACGGCCAACTAAACAAAATGGTTTCAAGTGCCCTCTGGCCAAGTGTCATTTCCCCCATTATTTTCTTCAAAGATCTGTCCCACTAAACTTAGTGCTTGCTAAATTGCTAAATGATAATGAATCACTTGATGACAGGAGTTAAGGTGACCCACCATTTCATCACCATACAAATTTATTAAGACAAATATTCTGGAAACTTCCTTTCATTATGTTGTTTTGGAGAGAGAATGACAGCAACACGATACCCCCATAGGTGAGACCACTAGAAACCAAACCCCTACACTGATACAGCAGGCAGCTTGGTATGCTTTCGTACTTAGACACCTGGATTTGCTTCAAGGCTTTTCCAGTAAATTTGATTTGGGGGAAGTCATCAAACTTCTAGGCCTGAATTTCCTTGCTTATAAAATAGGTCTTCACACAAACTAGGCATGCAAATATTTGTTGCGGTCATCAGTGAAACAATTTTTTATCGATTCAACCATGACTACTGCACAAATAACCTTACCCCCAGTTTAGAGCTCTTTTCATAATCCCATCTGCCCCTGCAACTGCTGGAGCTGCTAGGGTTTCTTCTCCTCTCTTTACTGGCCTGTGCAAGGTCAGCTCCACTCCAAATTACAGAATGTCTACGGCTAAATGTGAAACTGTAGGAATCACAGCTATTAAAATGTGGTTATACTTTACCCCTAGGCTTCTTCAACACAGCTCCCATTATTCCTCCTTGACAAATCTTTATCAAGCACTTTCACAAGTCCTCTAGTTAATCTTCTTTTGTCTTTTGTAATAATTGAAGTTATTTTGATAAAAATGTCTTTCCTCCTCAGTTCACAATGACAATGACATACCCGATATTTTAGATACAGAGATCAGGAGAAAACCCTCTGAAATATCATTTAATCTATATAACACTTTTTAAAGAACAAGAAATTCTGAATTCTGAACAACTACCTCTTAAAATGACAATTCATTTTTATGATGGAGAATGTTTACGAAAAGTTTAAAAATAAACTTAATTTGCATATAGTAAATCATGTTTTTAAAACTTTAGCAAACACAACTAAAATGACACTAAGTTAACTATTCCTTGTAACAGCTACTGGTACTAACAGCAACTCCAAGTCTAAGCAAAGACCAAACTTCCAACATGTGTTCTGAGACCATTAGTATCAGCCTAATGCCACTCGGAACCAGGGGAGCCAGGACCTATGTCCAATGAATCGAGGGTTCTACCTCCCTCCAAAAACCTTCCAGGTGAAAATCCATCCACCTTCTCCTGAATCAGCACTGAGTAATTCCTTCCCCTCACCCTGGATCAGCTATCATTACAGCAATGGTTCTCAAACTCTGAGCACATCAGGGTCAAGCAGGGCTTGTTAAGACATGACACCGACCTCACCCCCAGAGTTTCTGATTTTGTAGGTCTGGAGTAGGACCCTGGAATTGGCATTTCTAAGTCCCAGGTGATCTGATGCTGCTGGTCTAGGGACCACACACAAAGAATACTATACTAGTGGTCCCTAATTCTCAGGGTCTCAAGGAAGGGAAGTAGTTCTTGCTTTTATCAATTTCCAGATCATCATTTCCTTACCCACTAGAAGGGGGAAAAAAAAAAAGAATAAAGAAAGTGATGACATCAACAACAAAACCCTGCTCCCTGCTCCTCTGTGGTCCATGACATCCAATTATCTGACCCTCCACTGTGCCCATCGCTGTCATCCACCACCTCCAGTGACTTCCCCACTCCCACCCCATGCTCAGGGAAGTCTTCTACACCTTGAGTCTAGCCATAACCATGTGATTTCAATGTTTATCCCTGTGGCCAGCTAGACAGGTTCTTTTTGCTTCATTTCTTCATTCCCAGAGACCCTGTTCCCCTCCATTTTACATCTAACACTCATTCTTCCATTCTTACCACAGACCTCATCATAAATGCAACCTAATTCACATTCCTCTTCACATCCTGTTTCTTGTTGGATGGCACAACCATCCATCCTAACAGATTCTGTAACCCTGCTGAGAAAGCTCTGCTTTTTTGGCTCCATCATAACGACGGTATGGTGTCATGAGATAGTGAAAACATGGTTCTTTAAAACAAAAGCAAATTTTTTTTCGTCTACACATAGTACCCAAAGTTAACAGGAGAGAATTAACATTTTCGACCTAACACTAAACAACCAGTATTACCAAATAACAAAATGCAACTCTGCAGACAAAAGTCAAACTTGCTTAGACAGACCCCCCACGGCCGCCACCACCAGGGAAGGCCACATCCACATGCAAGGGTTTAGGTTCTTTCATGATGCAATGCACAGAATGGGAGCATTCACTCTTTGATCACAACTTCCTATATCTCCACTCTGTTTCCTCAGCATTTTCTTCTTGGATCCTGTAGTTCTCTTATTTCTGCTTCCAGTGTATCCCCTCTTCACCTCCTGCCTTCATATCCATCCGTGGCCATCTTAGACTCCACAGTTGACCATTTATTTACATCACTCCCACGACTCAGGAGCCTTTCTTGCTCCTCTATCAGTTCACTGAGTGGACTGCCATGACTGCCTCCCTGGGTGAACACAAGTATCCCCTGACACGGAGGCAAGGGCAGCTGGGCTCACGGAATCAAGATCAGGAACTGAACACAGCAGAGCCAGCCTCAGCTGGGCCTCGGTGCTGCCTGCTACCGTCCCACATTCTCTACAAACTCACCTCGTCATTCTTTATGATGACTATGTCAAATTTCTCTGCCCCCAAAGTATCCTACCTCCTCATACTCAAACTGCCATAGCCTCATACTTCACAGAGAAAGCAGAACCCTCAGCAGGAAGCTATCCTGAGTGCCCACTGCCCAGCACACAAACCTGCCCTCACCTGCATCCATTCCGACTTCCTCCTCAGCTACCTCGCACTCTGTGCTGACTCTTCACGCCCCTCCTCCCCCAGCCTCACTGCCTTTGCCAGGTCTCCCTCCACTCCGCTGCTAGCCCCCACGTCATCTTGCTCTTCCCATCACAGATGAAATTCTCCACAGAGCCGTTGTTTCTCTGTTTTCATTTTCTAACCTGCCATTCACTCCTTACAACCTGTAGGCTTCCATCTGGCTTCTGCACATGGTTCCAGCATGGTGACTCTAATGTCACATCAATGATTTCCATGTCATTAAACTCAATGGAAAACTTTCAGTCCTCATCTGACTTGACCCACTCAGCAGAACTCTCCCTCCTTCTTCCACACTCTCTTCCCTTGACTCTCATGATTCCAGAATCTTGTGGCACTCCTAACACCTCTTTAAACTTCCTAGTTTTCATCTCCTTTGCTAGCTCACTCTCATCTAGTTGACTTTTAAGTGTGAAAATTCTGTAATACTTGTTCCTATGCCACCTCTCTAGTTCACTTCAGCTATCACCTACATGACTTACCTTTTTCTCTCATTTGAGCTCCACAACCATGGGTCTACTCAACTTCCCATTTGAATGACTTACAAAACCCTCAAATTCAGCATATACACAAGAAACCATGGTCCTTCCCCCTTCTGTTCAGTGTCCTAAATCTCAGAAGCACTTCTGTGAAGCCAGTTGCTTAGACAAAAACCCCAGGATTCATCCTTGACTCTTGTCCCAAACACTCAGCTTGCAAAACTAAGAGTGTATCATCTGGCCATTGCAAATGGGTTACAATGAGGCCAAGGTATGGATTCTCCTCAGCACCTGGGTCACCCTTGTCCATTTTCCACAGCATAGTTCTTAAAAGCATTTGCGTGTGCCATGACATTAAAAAGGGAGAAACTCTGTCTTAAGTCCCAACATTCTTTCAACTGTGATCATCAAAATCTAAGTTATCATCATCTCCTAGGTGACTTCAATAACTTAGCATACACTTTTCTACTCCATACAGCAGTCAAAATATTTTTTAAATATGATTAGAACACTAACTGGTTAAAAATCCCTTAATGTCTTAATACTGCTTTCGAAATAAAATACAACATCTTCCATGTGGCCTACAAGGCTCCATGCGATGGGGCCCCAGCCCGTGGCTCCAGCCTTAGTGTTGTGTCACCCCCCTAGCTGCCTAGACTCCTGCCCAAAACACCTGACCATGGTCTTTCCTGTCTCGGGCTCTCAGCCCAGACTTTTCCCTCTTCCCATTAATTATGTCAAAGCTGCACCAACACATACAACCTCCAAACTCCAGCTATTGCCAGCTCACTCTGCTTACAAACCACCTCCTCAAGGAAGCCTTCCTCACTTCCCTTACTCTCACAGCAGTGTGCACTTCTTTACTGCGTTATTACACAGCTAATTAGATGATGATACAGCAACTGATTTCTTAATCTCTTTCCACCTCTAGAATGTAAGTTTCATGCAACAAGGAACTAAATCTGCCACGTTCATTGCTGTATACTTCCCTTGAACCTATCTAGTAGGAGCTCAATAAAATTATTACTTGTGAAATAAGTGGATACATTCCTTCCCAAATCCTTGATACGATATGAGTAATCAAACTTCTGCTAACACTTTAGAAATAAGGGAGCAACTTATTGCTTAGTTGTTTGGGCTGTCAAGTCACTTCAGGTTTCCCCACCTGCATGAATTTAATGATCCTAAAATTAATTCACTAGAGGAAAAGACCTACAAATAGCTAAGAGAGAGAAATTCAGAAAGCAGCCCAGTGGTTTCTAGACTCTGATTTCAGACTCAAATTGGTCCCTTCACCAAGTTTTCACAGTTCTGTCTCAGGTGAATTCCTCCCTATTGATCTTCGATGACTGCCACATGGGCTGTACATGAGTGGGACCAGGTAGGACAGGCTCTGTAGCCTCCTCCACCTGTCCTGACAAACCCCAGATGCTGCTCTCTTGACTGCCCCTATGTAGAAAGGCACCATGGCTGGAAGAATGACAAGGGGCGCATGAGTTTTAGAACTTAGGAAAACAAAATTGAGAAAATTGCTTGCATTTTCACCAGTATTAGTAAACAAAAGTGAAATATCAGCAATATCCATTTATACCAGCCTCCAGGTATTTTTGGAACCTTTATATCCTTTAGAACACCCAGCTAAGGAGCTACTGCCCTAGCCCACACCTCTGTGCTAATACCGATTTACTGCAGCAGAGAATGTGAATCAAAATGTGGGTCCGCCCGAGCCTGTCATACCAATTTGTGATGGACCCAAACATTATTGATAAGAAAATAAAAACACAATATAAATAGTAGCTAACCTCACAGGCTAGTTCCTCAAGCCAGGCCTAATGAGTCGGTTCTGTAATTTCTCCCTACAGAGCACTCAATAGAGAAGATGGTCTTAGAGAAAAAAACAAAACAAAACACTCCCCTGGGCTAGTCAATTGTCCATATGGGTGGGTGATAATTACTAGCATGGTGTTCAAAATGAGACAATGTCTCACTGGCCTGAGAGAAGCAAAAGGTGTAAAGGAAGATGAACTATGTCCACTGAGAAACTCTGAGGTGGTGAAAGAAAAGTTATTACAATGAACAAAAAAGGTTATTTTTTCAAAACTAAGTAACAAAAAAGCTTAGTCCTGCTTTAACTCTTAATTTCAAGGCAATGAGACAAGGATACACTACCAATATGGACAACTACCACTGGTTTACAGCTGTGCCCATGAAGACCCTTTGACTTTAACCTATTTTAACAGCAAAAGATCCATGGCCCCCCTCCCCACCAGTTCCCACTTTCTAGAGCAAAGAATCCAGCATTTAAAATAAAGTGCCCTACAGATGCAAATGGGGAGGGAAGAGAGGGATTACAAAAATTCATTAGCACAGCATACACAGAAGAATCCTGTAAATTATAAAACAGGTCCTACAGTTGAGTTAGTAGAAAATCATAGGTCAAAAAAATAGTTGATACAATTATGAATTATAATACATCTTGGAGACAGTATAAGGATATTGGAAAAACTCTATATTTTCTCCTTCTGTACTCTCACCCAATAATTAACACAGAATATTCCTGCAGTCCCTGGTCACTAAAACATGTGGGGATTTCTCCTCACCAGTAAGTAAGCAATCAATTCTGCAGCAGATCAATTCTGCAGTAGACACCGGCTGGCTGTCCTCTAATTCAATTCAATTCTGACACTATCTACTTAGAGATAGTGTCAGATCCCACAGGTTGAGGGCTCAGTCTCACAAGACTGTCTCTACTTCTGAGGCCAGTCACACATAGTAGGTTGTCACCTATACTTCAGATCAACTGGCTATAAATCGGGGTTCCCACCACCCGCTCCTCCAATTTGATTAATGTGCTAAAGGGGTTCACAGAACTCACAGAAACACATTTACTAGTTGATTATAAAGGATATTACAAAGGATGCAGACGAACAGCCAGATGCAAGAGATGCATAGGGCAAGGTATGTGGGAAGAAGTGTCCAGTTTCCATATGTTAAAAGAAAAACTTTAGCCAAATTAAAATTATTTTATTTGATTTTAATTTAGACAGAGTCTCACTCTGTCTCCCAGGCTGGAGTGCAGTAGTGCGATCACAGTTCACTGTAGCCTTGAAATCCTAGCCTTGAATGCAATCCTCCCACCTCAACCTCCTGAGTAGCTGGGACCACAGGCATGCACCACCGTGAGCAGCTAATTTAAAAAAAAAAAAAAATGTCTTGTAAAGACAGAGTCTTGCTTTGTTGCCCAGGCTGGTCTTGAACTCCTGGCTTCAAGCAGTCCTCCCACCTCCACTTCCCAAAGTGCTAGGATTACAGGTGTGAGCCATCACCCTTGGCTGACAAATTAAATTTACAGAGTTTAACTGAGCAAAGAACAATTGTTGAGTTGGGCAGGGCCCAGAAGCAGTTCAGAGACTCCAGGGCTGCCACATGGTCAGGTAATACTTATGGACAGAAAATGGAAGGCACAGAAACAGCTGGATTGGCTACATCTCAGCGTTTGCCTTATTTGAATATAGTTTGAACAGTTGTCCACCTGTGATTGACAAAAATTCTGCGACTGATACAAGAGTAGGTTATAGTCTGTTATTCATTTAGTTGGGTTACAATTTACTATATATGGAAAAGCCTTTAGGCTGAACTTGAAATAGGCAAGGAGGCAGCTTTAGGCTAAACTTAACACGTCATGCCCTCTTTGGGCACACTGCCTCCTCTATTAATCTTTGTCAGCTATCTGGAAGCTCCAGGAACCATCTTTTTAGTTTTTTATGGATACTTCATTACATAGGAATGATTGATTACATCAATGGTCACTAGTAATCAAGTTAACTTTTAGTCCCTCTCTCCTCCCCAGAGGTTGGAGGTGGGGCTGAACGTTCCAATCTTCTAATGATGCCTTTGTCTTTCCTGTGACCAGCAGGAAGTTATCTAGGGGCTGTCAGCTGCCAGTCAATTATTAGCAAAAGACACTCTCAAGACTCTGGGAGACCACAAAGGTTTTAGGAGCTGTATGTCAGGAAACAGGAAGACCAAATATATATTTCACAATATCACAGATGGCCAACAAGCTCTTACTAAATAAATAATGAAAGTGAATAACAGTAATAAAAACCAACAGTGGCCATAACTAAAAATTGTATAAACAATTAACTTTACCCAAAGAGAAGTCTGGTCTTTGCCCTTGGTTACTTCAGTGGGGTCTCTAGATCCCAGGAATGTTCTGCCTGATACCAGCGTCTTTGCCGGGCGCTTTGGCCACTGGACAGCGAACCAAGTGGGCGTTGGGACATGCCATTATCAGTTGTGATCTCCAGAGGACCCTGGGGATCCCAAAATTATAGCTGGTGCCTGAAGTGAGGGCAGTCTTGTGAGAACTATTCCTCAGACTGTACAGTTTGCCTAACTCCTTGCAGAAACCATGATCCACTGAATAAACAGGTGATGCACTCACAGCATCCTTCACTCTAACAGCATGAAGCCTGACTTTTCCTACATATAGATCAGTAAAAATTTCACAACTTTGCCAAAAGCTAAATAACCACACTTCTGTAGAATAGTGAATCTCATATTTCAATCTACTTGGTAAGGTACAAATATTTATTTATAAATTCCAAAAATCCCTCACCATAAGAAAAATGAGAGAGGGGTACTGCAGGTACTGCAAGGTAAGTTCCTTGTTTCATGGGTTTCAGTAAAATGAAAAATAATGAATAAATGAAGTATATTATCTCATGTCTCTTCTAATTCTAAAAATTCCTTATTCTAATTCACAAAATCTTGACTCTTTAAACTAAATCACCAGACAGTTGCAATGAGAAAAAAAAATCAAAAAGTTTCTCCTAACTGTGAGTTTCACTCTATCAACCTTAGAAAATCCTAAGAAAATGTTTTAAAAAGCAGTATTATAAAGGAAGGCACATAGTTTACTTGCGAGACTTTGTGAAAAAACAAAAATCCCTTTTATAATAAAAACTTTAAAAATTTCTAAGAGAGATATCAAGAGTTCTCTGCAGGAGAATGCCTGTCAGAGACCAAGGGTGCCTGCAGGGAGATTGACTTCTCATTCCCCAGTGGATGTCCACTCAAGCAACGGACTCCGTGGCCCACCCTATGCCTAGTTGAACAGCAGAGAGAACTGGGAAATTACGGCTACAGAGAAAGGTGACAGCTACAAGGGAGCCCAAGCTCCAGGCAAATTGTCAGCTTCCCACAAATCCAAGAGGGCAGCAGGGAAGTATCAGGGTTTGTACCATTTTGCCAGCACCTCACTCAAAAGGGCTGACTGCCACACAAGGGGCTCCCAAGAGCAAGAGGTGAGATGAGGCATTCTGCCCGGAGTGGAGGCCCAGGAGATTGAGGGTGGATCAAGTCATGTGGCACAGGGAGGGTCCACACTGGGCCTTTCAAAGAACTCACATGGGCAGTGTTTGAGCACTTGTCACTGGCGAATAACCATGCCAGTCAATCTCATCAACTTAGAGAGGAGACTGAGAAGGGACTCACCCCTCTCCCTCCCCAGCACAGCCCCAAAGGCAAACCTTCCCCTCCTGCCCTGCTGCAAAGGGGAGACAAGAACATCTGCACCAAAAATGACATCAGCTCTAATCCAGACAGACTTTTAAAAAGAGTGACTGAGATGTTAAGGTCTGTCCCAGAGATGGTCAGGAGCCTCTGCTACCAAGAGCAAATAGATTAATCTATCCTAACTGTGCACAATGACTGGAGAAAAATGAAGCTGCTTCCTGTTACTATCCAGTCAGATAAAGATGCCTCAATAAAATGGCTAAAAAATGTGCTTCCATATGTTGGGCTCAATCACAGGAAATTGTCAGTTTCTGACCCACAAAAATGGCTATTTCACAGGAAACAAACAAACAACATAAGAATTTCCCCAATGTTTTACTATGAAAATTTCCAAAACACAACAAAGCTGAAAGGATTGTTATTACTTAGATTCTGCTACAATATTAGCATGGTATTATATGTTTGTAGCATACCTATTCATCCCTTTACATCTATCATCACCTTATTTGTACAATGCATTGCCAAGTGAACTGTAGACATCAGCACACATCTCCTAAATACTTCGGCATGAGTATCATAAACTACAGTTACACATTTCTTCATAGTTATTTAATGTGAAATTTACACAAAATGAAATGCATAAATTTTAAGTAAACATTCCCTGAGATTTAACAAGTGTATACAACATGTAACCCGGAGCCCTATCAAGATCTAGAACATTAATATTTCTGCTTAAATTCCCTCATGGCCATTTCCATTGCACCCCATCCCCAGTCTCAGAGGTGGTTCCACAGTTCTGCTTTTTTTCTCACTGTAGTTTGCCTGTTCATGAAATTTCATAAACATGGCAGCACAAGCTTGTGTGTGCAAGGCTCCTCTCCCTCAGCTTTATGTTCCTGAGAGTTTTGTATGTTATCTGTAGTGGCAGCTCATTTCTTTTTATGGCTGGGTAGTATTACATTGGATGGACATATGAGTATACATAAATGACTATGTATGTGATATACAGAGCATAGCAGAGGGTATCCAATCTCCTACTGGTAGAAACCTAGGCATTTCCCATTTTGACCTATTATGAATAAAGCTGCTAGACATATTCTTTTACAAGACATCTATGAACACATCTTGTATTTCTCTTAGATAAATATGTAAAAGTGGAAATATCTCTCTTAGGTATTCTCTTAGATAAATATGTAAAAGTGGAAATACGTAAAAGTGGAAGATAAATATGTAAAAACCACAGGGCGTATATACATTTAGTATTAAACAAAAGTCCCAAAATTGTTCAACATTTTAAGTATTCACCAAGAAATTGAGTTCTCTTGCTCCACAGGCTTACTAATATTTGGTGTTGTCTGTCTTTTTAATTTAACCATTCTGGTGAGGGTGCAGAGGTATCTCCATGTGGTTTTAACTTGTATTCCCTTGAGAACCAATGATGTTGAGCGTTTTTCATATGCTTCTTGGCCATTTATCTCTTTTGTGAACTATTTGTTCAAATCTTTTGCACATTTGCCTATTTTTAAAAGCTGAATTATAGGAGTTATTTGTATTTCCTGGACACCTGTCCCTTAACAGATATATGCATTACAAAATTTTTTCCCAGTCTGTGGCTTTCCTGCTTATATTCTTAATAGCATCTACTGATGGGTAAAAGTTTTTAATTTTAATGATGCCTCAGGGGTGTGTGTGTGTGTGTATACATATGCATAGCTTCACACTCTGAAACATGACATCTATTTCAGGACTTACCCTATACGATCACTGAATCTGCAACATTCAATCATTGACAGAAGTCCTGTTATTGGCTTAAACTTTGTGCCTGAGTAAAGGAAGTTTCAAAAACAAGGCCATATACCAACTAACTGTCTATTAGTGGTGAATATCAGAGAGTAATGCAAGGGAATTTTGATAATTTTGAGAAATACTTTCATTAGCTATGATGAGGCACAAAAAAGTTCTAAGTTAGTCACTAAAATTCAACTATTTTATGAATCCTTTAACTTCTGTCAACAACAAATTTTTTTGTTTTTATACTTAATTTGATACTTAAAAAAATGTATACTTAGTTTTATACTTAATTTTGTAGGTGTTTTGTGTTCTATTTTTATAATTCCCTGATGTTTTAATTTGAAACATACATATAACAAAAAGATTAGTATAATGAAGCCCTTGTGTACCTTATACCTGAGCTGACCAATTATTAACATTTGGCTACATTTGCTTTCTTTACATGTATGCAAGAGTGTGTGTGTGTGTGTGTGTATGTGTGTGTGTGTGTGTGGTGTGTTTTTTTTTGTGTTCCTCTCTCCTTCAGAAATAAAAATTATTTCCTCATCTAACATTCTTATACACTAGAATCTATATGGGAAATTCTGTGGGCTAGGAATTAGCCCACGACTTTAGGTAAGTTCCTTGCTTCACGGGCCTCAGTAAAATGGAAAATAATGAATAAATGAAGTATATTATCTCATGTCTCTTCTAATTCTAAAAATTCATTATTTTAATTCACAAAATCTCAACTCTTTAA